GGGCCCCCCCCTAGTGGCGGAGATCTCTCCTGTGGCTGATCTCCCAAGCTACTATAATTGTCCAGCGTGTGGTTTAAACTCCGGAGCTCCCGGCCGGAACTTTGTGAACATTTTTGATATAGTCACTAAACCCCTGGTGTCTGTATTGGCGATGGAGGTGATTCAGAGGTGAGAAACAAATCCGTTTTCCTGACTTTATTTTTTTTGAGAAAGTTACCGATGCACCAAGGAGGAAGTGGAACACACATTAGACAACCATTTCATTGCAGACTGTTATGTTTACGTGGGGAAATGACAGAGCATACATTATTTGAGATAGACTATATTTTGAAGTCAGACTTAATTTTATGGACATTTCGGCCAGGGGTGTAGAGCTATTGGTTTCAGCACCGGATTGGCAAAACAGGAGAGTTTGTAAACCAGTCTGCTTTGATCTATGAATTAATGTCCGTGACTCGCAGAGTACCTGCTTCCCCCGCAGCTTTTTTAAAGGGAAACAAACACTCAGAACACACACACAGAGCCAGTGGCGGACTGCCCCCCCGTTGACAGTTTACGTCGGCTGGGCAGGGTGAGATTCCCGGGCTGATTTTTAATCCCAGTCCGCCCATCATGCGTCCTGATGACCGGCGATCTCCTTCATAAAACTAATAAAAGTGGGAGTAATCGGGCAGTTCGGTGTGTGTGTAGAGGTGTGTGTGGTTAAAACGGCCTGTGGTCACTCTTTATAGCTGTTCAATGAAGGTACACACAGAAGGCGGTGCGTAAAAGCTCTTTGAGCGCTGGTGCTGCTCTTCTCTGAGTTACACGTCCCGCTGCCTCCTGGAGTGACCACACACCCCTGGCCGAAATGTCCTTAAAGTGAAGTCTGAGTACGAAATATATCTCAAATAATGCACTGTCATTTCCCCACGTAAACATAACAGTCTGCAATGAAATGGTTGTGTCCTGTGCGCTTCACTTCCTCCTTGGCGCACCGGTAACTTTCTCCCCAAAAAAAAGTCAGGATAACGGGTTAGTATCTCGTGCGCACGAGATACTAAGTCGTTCGCACGAGAAAGTATCTCGTGCGCACGAGATACTTTCTCGTTATCCTGACATTTTTTTTTCTCTCTCTGTTTTTTTTTTTTTTTTTTTCATGTCCCTTTAGGGGCTCCGTACAATTCTGCATTCAAACTCTTACTTATTTTTTGAAGATGCATTTTCAGGCTGATACAAGAAGCTTTATAAAATGTTAATTTAACATAAGAAGTAGGAATAGTCTTCATCATTAATGGCACTTCATCAGAAACATTCAAAATCAACAAATCCAGAGTTTTCACTTGACAGGAAGGCGATAAAATGTAGTGGATTAGAAATAAGGTAGTATAAACTTGATACTAAAGTTCAAGTATCTCAAATTTGCACTTGGGAACATTTACTTTACAATCTTGTGATCCTCTCAGGTCTTGGTATCGGACGTGGAACCCTGCAGCGTATCATCACTGAGAAACATGAACTGTACCACATGAAGCTTTTGTTTTGAGAAGGATGTACAATGAAGATTTGTGAAGGAGTAATAACGCTCGTTATGAACAGGGTTACACAGCTTAAGGCTAAACCCCATAAGAAAGAACAGCAGAGGACTGCAAACACACCACACCAACTGCTGTTAGGACAGCCTCAAGCTGTTTGATCTGTGTTCATTGACTCGGTGTAGATCAGCTGCAAAGGGGGCGATCACACAGAACGACCTGCAGGGTATCTGAAACACTAGTGAGGATTCTCATCTGCAAACCTGTTCAACTCAAATACTTTATTTGATGTTTGTGTGCTAAACTGTTGCTTTTTCTGCCATATTTTTGCTGTCTACAGTCATGGCTGTTTATTATATGTTTTTATTTGAGTGAATATTGTATTAGTGAGTTTGATTCAATACCATTTACTGCTCGCCCATCTGAATAAATACGCAGTCAAAATAAAGGGGTTCATCATGACCGGAGCAAAATGCCTTATATTTAACCTTATTTCAATGTACAGAGCAGCTTTTCAATTTAGTTATCGGTTATTTAAAGGTGTTTTATTGCAACTTGGGTCTAATTATTGCTGTTTTAGCCATAATTTCTATAATTTGTGATAACAACAGAGACAGTCAGTTTACCTTCCTGTCTAGGATTAATTTTTGTATGAATGTGGGTCAATTATATTTCTACAAGATCCATCAAAAGCAGTTCTGTTCATTATTAATGATTCTTCGCACTCCAAAAAGACTCTCATTGATGTTTGTTTGTCAAAACATGATCATCTGCTCATTTTATGTTCCCTGCCGGACTACTCTTTAGCACATTTTGTTCCCAGAGCTAATTTATTATCTTGGTGAAAACTTCAAAAAAAATAAGAGCATTTGTACTCAGAATAAAGTCAGAACTGCTTTGGTTATTTCAAATGTGATTGATTGTTGTTCCTATTTCACATGTGATAAATCAAAACATATGTATTTTTCGCCTTGCTTTTCACCGAGGAATTAGGTTAGCTTTAGTTATTTAGTTATTAAATCCCACAAGGAAACCAAGACCAACACTGGTAGTCCGTCCCATGTCTATGGCTCTTTCGTAACAGCAGATACCTTTTTTTTTTAAAACTAAAGTGGAGTTTTCTTTGCTGAAGGTTTGAACAGAGCTGTGTGATCCTCTGATCCTTTTTCACTTTTAACCCTAGACCCATATTAACTGTTGTCTTCTGTAATTAAAATGAGGAAAGAATCAGGGTTTGGCTTTTCTTTTTAATTGGTCAATCTAATTGTTTCTATCTGAGAGCACCTCCTGAAGTCTGTCTGTATTCAGAGGTCAGAGTTTAGTGAAGTTACTTGGATATAAAACCTTTCTAGACAATCCAAAGCTTCTTTTCAGACAGTAAATAAATAACATTACTTATATGTTGATGTGATTGTTGTTTTCTTTGTCACCCTGGACTTGGTTTTACGTACAGAAATGTTCCTCAGGACTGAAAGTTCTCCATTTAATGACAAAATACTATATAATGTGAAATGGTGATTGATGTAAAAACTTCAAAGACAGAAAAGTAAAAAAATGCACAGTTTAATGATAAAAGATTATTAAAACAAACAAGCAAAAAAGAGTAGATTAGTCATAAAAAAGGTTTGTCTCCATAAAGACATTTTGTTCTCTGCTTCAAAATAAGAAGAAGGCTTCAATTGTTCGTTTAGTGCCGTGAATCTTCTGCTGGTGGCTCCGCTGGTTTCCATTCTGCTTAAACGGAAAAGGTTTGTCCCAAAGTATCCTGAGGTCAGTTTCTGCATTTTCCCTTGATTTCTTTGTTCGCACCGCAGTTTGATCATCTTTCAGATTGCTTTGAACCTGAAGTATGACATATTAGGAAATAAACCTGAGGAAAGACGTGAAACAGTTTATTAGCTTAGCTCAAAGACTGGAAACAGGAGATAAGGGTCTGGTTTTTTCCACAGTTAAACAAATCTACATACTAGCATATCTAAAGAGCTCAAATTAATCATATTACAATCGATGAGCACATACTAACGAAAAAACTGACAAATGATAGCTTTCACAAAATGTTCTGCTTTTCTATTTAATACTATTCTACAACAAACGAGATATAATATGTTAGTAGGGTTAAGTAACGTGCTGGTTGATAGATTTATTCTATTTGGACAGAGCCAGGCTGCTTCCAGTCAAGCTAAGTTTAACGCCTCCTGACTATTTTGTTTTGTTTGTTTCAAAAAAGCCAATATAATATGTTTAAGTAAAATGCTATCAGTACTTACCCTCTGGCTCATGGGCTTCGTCGACACCAACCCTGAGCTTCTTTGTAAACAAGCCTGGTCAAAAACTGAAGACAAACAAACAAACAATGGGTCAGTCCGGGTGTTGCTACTTGACTTTTATAAGCAGTAATGACAAAAAGATCTTAAAGAGTTCAGGGAATGAAGGAGTGTTTCTGACCAGGCAGGCGAGGAGGTCTGCAGAGATGAGCATGTAGAAGACGTTGTTCCAGCCGGTGGGGGAGATCAGACCTGCTAACAGAGGACCCACCGCAGCACCTGGAGAACACACGAACACACACACACACACACACACACACACACACACACACACACACACACACACACACACACACACACACACACACGACTCTTTAGACTTTTTTAGAAGCATTACCTAGAAAGCGTTATAAAGTGCTAAAATGGGTTCATCAAATGTTCAATACAAAGGGAAGAGAGGAAAATGTAACGCCTGAAATCAAATATAATATCTTAATATGGAATAATACAAGTTACAGGTTTTGTTTTTGGTTCAGTCTGTTTGTTCGTCAGCAGGAATAATACAGGCTTGATCGGATCCGAAGCTTCCGTACGTACCTACTGAACCAGTCCCGTCAATAATGGCCGTTACTGTTGACAACGCTCTGGAGTTTCCTCTCAGACTCTCATGTGTTCCCTAGTTACACAAAACACAAAATAGAAAAGCATTATAATCACAATATACCAAAACGCATAAAATGGAAATACTTCAAAATGAAACCTAAAGAAGTGCCTGATTAAAAGTGCTTAGTTACATTCCACCACTGTAAAGACTTTAAGTAGCGAGTATGGTTTGAATGTCTAATCTATATAAGGCAGAGACTAGGGGATTCCCACTATCAGATTTAAATTTAAAGATTTGATATACAGTATTTGTCATTTGTAAATATTTTAAAATAGTCTTAAAAGAGTTTGTTAAAATAGCTTTAAACGTTTTTTGAAATAGTCTGTTTTTATTGTATATGTTTTGCTACGTTTTCTTCTTTCTGGGTCTTTGTATGCACATACCAAAGTAAATTCCTCGTATGTGTAAACCTACTTGGTAAAACAACAGATTGTGATTCTGCATCAGGTCTTACCAGGTCAGCAGACACAGCCGTAGTGATGAGAGCGTACGGGCCGTTCACCAGGCCTCCACACAGCAGCAGCATACCTTCACATGGAGAAAAAACACTGTTTCTAAAACCATTTCCTTTCAATAAAAAAATCAATGTGTTTTCGACATTGTAGATAAATAAATTCAGTTTCAAAGTCAACTCATTTTGTGCTTTTTAAACAAAACAAGCCTGCTTTCAGTTCAGAGGAAAGCATTAATCTTAGAAAGCATTTTTGGTAAAATCTCATAAGTTTTCTTTTTGAATTGGTTAATTATTGCGGGAAAAAATAAAACCTTACAGAGAGACCAAACTATAATTATTTAAAGTGCTTTTACCGACTGTAGCACCGATGCTGCTTTGCCCGATGTAATTATAGAGGAAAAGCTGAAACATGAAGAGAAAAAACATTAGCATGAATATTGCAAATAACACACAATAACACAAATAAAGAGACAGTCTCTTATTTCAGTATATTTGCAATCATTAAAATATTTGGAATCAGCGGCTATTGACATAATCATTATTAAAACACAATGGTTCAATTGGGCTCTCATTGTCTGTTTTTCTTTGGGCCGTCTGCAGTCCACTCACATTGACGAGGTTTAAACTGTGACTTGTCAGCTTTTGTGGCAGGGGATTACTGACTTTGATCAGTCCACAGAGCCACTGGTTGAAAAAGTGACTTTGCAAATGTGTCATCAAACTGTGCAGTTGTAAAATAATGAGATTTATTAGATAATACTCACCATTGGGGCTGCAGCGATCAACATGAAGCAGCAGGTCGTCGCTCTCCCACCCGTGTAGTCCGACACCAGGCCTGCCGCGATGCCGCCTGCAAGCACACACACACACACACACACACGCACACACACGCACACACACACGCACACGCACAGGTCAGATCATGTTTATCTAAAATGTCACTTTGCTATGTTCTTAGTCAAACATGATATTAGGAAGGAACCCCATTTCAAAATAACAAAACATTTTAAACTTGAAGCAGATAGATAGACCTTAGGTTCATTAGAGATGTCCTCTTGTAATGATAACAGAAACAATATGATCAGAGCTTCTGCTTTGATCTATTCATGATTTTAGAGGTATTGATTAGCAGACCGGATGTTTTCCTTGCAATGACAAGGTCTAAGCTGAAGATTATGGAAGCAAACAAATAATTTAAGTCTTCTTAATTTTTACCCTCTATTTCTTCCCTCATAAACACGTTGGATAAAGTCACATGATCAACCTGTTGAGACTCAAAGCTTACCAACGATTCCTCCAACATCGAACAGCGTCGACATATCGCCGGCCTCTTTTGCGTCAAAATGTGCTGAAGATGAAAAAAAAAAATCTCAAATTAAAAATGATTAAATGATGTAGGTTAAACCCAAGCGGCAAACTCTGGGGAACAGCCGGGAGTCTAATACGGAAGTGCCTCAAACTGCAGTTCATCTAGTGGCCATTCAACATGTTGAATCGGCGTCGGGAACACCACCGGAAGTCGGACAAAGGGATAACACTGATTGGCTGTTCAGCTAGCGAATCAGTGCATGAGAAGCGTTAACGGAAGTGAGGGAGGTAAACAAATGATTTGAGTCCAAGGGCTGCTAGCTCCAGTACCTCCCGTTCGTCCTGCTCCTGTTCGTTCATGTTTTCAATGGACGAGAGTGAAAATGGAAAGAAAAACGCTATTTGTTGTTTGTTTATATCACGGAGTCTGTTCTTCTTCTCTGTCTTCCGGTTGTTCCGGTTGTTGCCTCTTTTGAATGATGAATACACACTACCGCCGCCTGCTGGTAAGGAGAGTTATTGCCACTCACGCATGCGCAGTTCATACGTGCTCGGCTCGGATTTGCGGTGTGTTCCAGTCTGGTTCCAGTGCGCGAAGTCGGCAATTACGCAGGAGAGTCCGGCGACGCAACAATCGGTGTCGGCGACTTCTCAGGTGACTGGCCGGTGTATCTGGGCCTTACGGGCTTCTCGGCAACTCTGCAGAATCCTATGGGTGACGTCACGGACACTACGTCCATTTATATATACAGTCTATGGTTAAACCATATGACATGGATGATAGTATTAGTATCTCGAATTAGAACAACATTAAATAAAGACAGTGTGCTAATACATACCAACATTTGAGATGTAGAGAGGCAGCCAGTACAGGAAGGTGTAGCTGACCAGCTTAGCGAACAGCAGGCAGAGAGAGAACTCCACTACTCCCTGTGTGAGAAAAAAACACCTTTATTATCCCAACATGTCTCTATTATCACACTGTTATGACTCACAATCTCTCTGCCTATCTAGATACGTTATAATTGAATATTTGCACTTTTGTTCCATAACTGCTGCACAGCAATTTCTCTCAGGATAAAGGAATATAATATGGTCTTATCGCCCCCTTTAGTAAATTAAAGGTGCTTCTCACTATAGCAAGCGCAAACCATTATCTCTAGAATCAATCCTGAAAATGTCATTATTATAGCTGTAATGTTCACTAACAAGGAAGGGGAAACTAGTCAGTCTATAACAAGAATGAAACAAGCTGAATTAAACTTGAAGCACTTAATAAACTTGAATATTGTAAATCTTGTTTCAATCAGTGATACAAAAATACTAAGTGTTTATTTTATATGTGATTATTCCATCTTTTAACTTGTTCTCATTGTCTTAGTTCTGCTTTAAAAAAGTGTCCAAATGCCTCAGTGTTATTCCTCACATCGCCACTAGATGATAGCAAAGCAAAGGATTTAAAAATTCTACACACAACTCTTGTATTACTTTGATACAAGTTCTGGGTATAAGATATATTTCCATTATATCTGTTTCAACTGCAATACTTTGACATTAATTCAGAGTATTTGAATATCAGAAGTTTCACAGTGATTAGGCGCTTTCACACCGGAGTACTTTTCCTATTTAGTTCCGATAGTTCCTAGGATTTTGCGTTCACACTAAAAAGAGAACTTAGTTCATGAGAACTTTTGCCCCCTTTTCAGACCCTGCCAGAGAGCAGGTACTTTCCTGGGGAGAAAAAAGTTCCAATTTCTGATTGGCTGGGCGAATTGCAAACCACACCAGGTAAAACTCTGAAAAGTTTTGCGAAGCCGCCATTTTATTTGCTGGCATTAGCATTATTAGCATTAGCCCAGCGCACAAACGCAGAGAGACTAATTTATGGCAACACAAAATAAAACGTGGGAGCGGTGGAGATGAGGAGGTGTCGGCGTTCTGGCGATTTACTCAGAAGGCTTCAGTAGAAGCTGCTGGACTTCCGGCCGGGGTCTTCGGGTGGAA